GTTTCCCTTTGGTTTGGCATGCTGAAATGTTAACAATTTAGCTTAAAATTTTAGATATGAAATATTGATAATTCACTGCATTAGTTGAAAATATGAGAGATGACACTTTATCTTATATTAGGCGGTTAAATCTCTCTAGTTAAATACATGAACAATCAATTTCTCTCTCTAAAATTTTAATTGGTTAAATAACATTATATTTATTTAAATAACAGGAGATCATTAATTAAATTAAATTTTGAATCCATAAATCTAATTGCAAAGACAATAATTAATTAATTAGGTGTTGTGGGGTGCTAACCCTTCCCCACAAGTAATCAACGCCTGAACTTGTTTTACTGAAAAGTAGGCCTAAAATTTGTTTTAATAATTTTAAAATTAAAATTTATTAAAATGACAAACTATTTTTGGGTGTTCCAATCATACCCTAAACAAAGATTAGTGACGAATCTTTTAATCAATATTTTTATTATTAAAAGGAAATCTAATTTTAGTAAAATGAACCCTAAAATTATTTTTGGTTTTTCAAGACATTACGAAAACATCGAAGCGAATTTGTTTCTAAGGCACTAGGCATGGTTGATCGAATTCCTTATTTATTTTATTATTATTTAGTCAGTGCTAACGCCTAGTTTTGTAGTAGTCTAATTTCTAATAATTTAAGAACGAATTCTACTACTACTGAAAGACTACTTGTCATGATTGATCATAATACAAAAAATTTTAATCTGAGTTCAGGTTTGATCTATCTTGTTATTGGAAGCAAAAATATTTATACACGTTTTATATACCTACAAAATTATTAAAGAAATATGTCAGGTTTAATCTTTAGTGTGAAGGCTATAAAATAATGAGTATATCTTTGCGTAATTAATATAATTGCTTGACTGATGACTGAAGAATTGCAATGGTTATTTGGAGTGGCAAAATGCCATTTTTAGAGTGTTTACGTGCATTAATTCATGCATTTACACATATTAATATGTATATTTTTATATTAATATGACTTTTAAAATATTTGTGTACCATGCGTTAATGAAAATGATGGCCAGATTATTAAAATATTTAGTATAAAGAATATTTAGCATAAAGAAATAGGCGTGTGAAAATTGGATGCTTTAAGAAATAGTAAGTTTGTTTCGCATGCTATTAAGATGTTTCTTTTGATTCTTTTATAAAGCTTAGAATTCTTGTCTTTAATGCTGGAATGCTTTATAGTTATTGACTTTATAAGTGCGAGTTATGAAATTGAATATGATGCGTAAGATTTTAAAACGGACCTTTAAATGCACAATAATGCATGTTTGAAAACGATTGTTAAGTATTATTTAATAGTCTTTATGGATGCATATGAATTGTTATGCAGTTATATAAAATTACAATTATTCGGTCTATTTTATTTTATATTAAGAATATGAAATGTTAGATTGAAGTATGATGTCATATCGATATTAATGGTGGAAACCAAAAGTATTTTTACGATGTAAAGGTATATAAATACCTTTATTAACATTAGTTTAGTTCTTTTGAGAATTGCATATATTTAATGCTAATGAGTTTTAATGCTACCAATGGATGAATAACTTCTAGTTTCAGAGATTAAATATCAATATGAAGTTATGTAGATACGTTTAATGAATTTTATGCATTAGCCATTTTAACCATGAGATTAAATATCTTATATTGATTTTTCAAAAATATCTTATATTGATATTATGTGAATTGGAAGGAGCCTATTGTGGTGAAGTGAATGTGGACCATAATACTATTGGGGATTATATTGACATATATAATGTTTAGTGTTATTTTTGTCATACTAATAATCTCACTTTCTCTGAGAAGTTTTAACAATTTTGAAGGATCAAATTGATTAACTTGGAGTAGAGCTATTTTGATTCTCAAAACGTCCTTATCAAAGAGTTGTTTTGATTTTTAAAATCTGTTGACACAAAGACCTGAGATACAAAATATAAGGACTTTATTTCTATCATTAAAGTATTTGAAGTAAATTTTACTATTAACAAATTATTTCTCAAAGGTTGACTTGGTGGAATTTCTTATGTTTCTAGAATTAACAGAATTAAAAGAAAATGTTAAAGATGTGATCGTCTTGGTAGATTTCGAGATCATTCTGATTAAGCGGTCATGAAGCAAAGATTGAAATTGCAAGCATGGTGAGAATGAACAAGTGTGCTCGAGATTTATGATTCTAATTGCAAGGTCGTATCATTTAGACTCTTTGCTTTTAATTCATGTTTTTTACATACATGAATTAGAATAATTGAGCCTTTAAGTTAGTCTTTAATTGATATTGAAAATATTTCGAAATGAGATAAACAACTAGTTAAGACTAAGGTAGTGAAAAACTAGTAAGACTAAGGCTAAGGCAGTAGCGAGCCTAAAATATGTATGCTCAATAAGATACTATTGTGAGTAAAAGTATCAAGAATAATTTGTTAAGAGGCCTTAAGAAAGAGAAAAGTAATAAAATGATTTATTAGAAAGTAATATGATTAGTATGAAAGTCCATGTCTAGGATTGATTCTCTGAAAAATTTGGTATTTAAGTCTGTCTAGTGCACCATCTCTATTTCTTAGAAACCTACCTGGTGCACTATTCATAACTATACTCACTATTTTAATTTATTAAATATTATGACAATAATAGAACTCTTTAAACTTAGTGCATAAGTTAAAAGAGTAGAGATTAAAATGGTAGAATAAACTACCAAATTTAGTCATAGTAAATAAATACATGATGATCTCTTTAAGGCTAATATGTTAAATTTTATGAACGAAAAAGTGATAAGACATTACTACTACTAAAAGATTGATTGTAGGTATTAAATTTCTTTGAGTAAATTTCCTAAGTAGAGGAAAGAAAAGACATTACTACTCCTTATAAATATTTGTATAATTTCCCAAACACTTCTTATGAAGAATTAGGAAAACCAAAATTCCTTTTGAATGAGAAAAGTCATGAATGGCTACTAATGAGATATAAGGAATTTCATAATTTTTTGAATTATACAAATTAATCTTAATTATTAGTAAATTCTTGAAAATTTAAGAGTATAAATTGTGTAAACAAAATTTGAAATGTCAAGAAAATAGTTCTAAGAAGAACCAACATTGAGAGAAAACCTCACAATAATTTTAATTAATCAAAGTCTGATTACAAATGAAATAGGAAAGCCTATTTATAGAATTTTAAAGGCGTATAGTCGAATGGTATTTGGCCAGATTTTGTGCTCCCTCAAAGACATAATTTAATGCTTAATTAACATGAATAAATGTATGCTGGTTTGCTGGTCATATGCAACATGAATTGGACATGTATGAGCTTTCTTGAGTGGGTATCTAGTTAGCAAATAAGGGCTGGTGGTGATTAGCTGGCCTTGAGCTCTCCTTAGTGTTCCACTACCTGCCCAGATTCTTTGTGAGCTGTTTGTGAGTTGTTTGTGTCTCCCAAATGCTCCACCTAGCTGTTTGTCTTCCAAAATGCTCCACTAAGCTGTACGTGTCTTCCAAATGCTTCATCAAGCTGTCCCAACGTGTATCATGCTCCAATGAGCTATATATGTCTTCTATGGATGAATGATTGCAAATCCCGTATTTATTTCCAACCTGCACTATCTTCAGTAATATGGGAATATCTTGAGCTCCCAATATCAGATTGATACGATTCAAAGTACGTTGGAAAGATAAGAGATAGGAGATTAAGTGTTAAGAATACTTCATCACCCAAAGTTTCTTGGAACAATCTCAAAAGTGGCGATCAATATGAGTGACGTGAACTGTCAACTGGATTGCCTTGAACGTACCTTGCACTAAATACAAAATGTATATAAGTTACAATGCTCAAGTTCATGAATAAATAATAAGTATGCTACCATTATTTAAATGTGATGAATCATGCTTAATATGAATGCAAAACTATTCTAACATGCTTAGCATATTTAAATAACAATGTGCACCAAATAATATAAAGATGTGGTATTCATAATAAATGATAAATGGAAACATGTAATAATAATATCCTAAGAAATGATATATGTAATCATAGAATAAATTTGAATGATGAGAAAGACATGATAAACTAAGCATATGATGATATGACGAAATTGATAATTTATACTAAGATGTGAATGCATGCTACTGATAGAATACAATGTATAAATGACATAGTTTGAGATAGGATAAGGGAGAACTCCCTTAGAAACAACAATGAAGATCATCTATAGTGTGATTAACTCATGGAGATAATTGGAGCTAGACAGGATCACATCAAAACCAAATGAAAAGTCACTTCCAACAAGGGTATCCTTAGAAGAAGATTATTCCAAAAAGGTACATGTTGGTAATTTACATTCCAAAGAAAGGCCTAATAGGAGATCTTGTGAAATGGTACCTATTGAAAGAACACATTCGTCCAAATAATACTTTCTTTTGCCAAAAGCTATGCAATTGGAAGAACATAATGAACATTTCAAGCATACCAAAGGCTCCAATTTGAGGACAAATCGCCCTAAAGAAGGGGGATGATGGAAGCACGTTTTCACCACATACAAAGGGAGTATTCTTAAAACTTTACTTAGTTTATATCATTATGATCATATATGAAATAATCATACATATCATGCTAAGGTTGTTAGTTATGTGATTTAATGAGTAAAGTAACTTAGCATATCCACGTCTTTATGATTGATGCACATTGTTATTTCAAGTATGTTAAGTATGTTAGATTAGTCTTGCATTCATTTAAGCATGATTCATTACATTCATGAAATGGAAGCATGCTTAATCATTCATTTGTTAGCTCATATGCATTCATTTTAGCTCTTAAGTCTTATAAATTAGCTTACATATGTTATATCATTATGTACTTAGCTCATGACATGCATTCATAGCTCACAAGATCATAATCATGCATGTCAGCAAGGTAATTGGATCATACAAGTTCAGTGCCTTTGATTTACTTTGTTTACTTTGCACATATAGGTACATGGAAGCATGGGACACATTGGGGCAACTTGTTGGAGTATTTGGGATCCATATGCAGCTCACAATTAGTTCACAAACTTCATGGCAGCTCATGGAACACAATGGGAAGCTCAAGTTAGCTGGAGAAGCTCAAGGTTTGCTAAACTCCGCTAGGTGGACTTTTTGAAGCTAAGTTGATAAACTTGACCAAATGAAAAATTAAAGGTAGCTAAAAGAGATGCTAAGGACCCAAAGAGAACTCGATTGGAACAACAAATCATAACAGCTCACTTGCTTGCTAGCTACATGCACGCCTATGCTAGCTTGGGACAGAACTCACACACCCAAGGTGATGCACATGACCAGCCTTCATCCCATGCACAAGGCTGCACCACAAGCATCCGTAGAACTCCCATGTGATCAGCAAGTGTGTGCAATGCACGTGACCCTCCTATGCGAGCCAAACACCAAGGGACTTCACCATTCGGCCAAGGCACCTATCCATTCACTTTGGCACAAACTTGAAGGGGTTCAAGCATTATTCTGCCAAGGATTAAGACTCCCCATGTCAACCAAACCAACACCTATGTTTTTATTTTTTTATTCAATTAATTATGTACTTTAAAAGAGACACAAGGGCTAGCCAAAACATTAAGTTCCCATTCGCCTATGTCCCTTCATTTTCCTATAAATAGGCTAATCCTATTCATTTTGTAAGCACACCTTTGATATAATTTAAGTGAGATTATTCTCTTTTCTCAAGTCCTTGTGACTTTTATCGACTTATCAAGTAAGTTAATTACTTGTGGCGTCAACCACTATTCCTTAATACTTGTGGTTCCTATCTCCTTATAAATAGTGGGTCCAAGTCCTTTGTTACCACCCCTTAGAGAGATTTGTAAGGCTGGGTCTTTGCTCATTGTAGCACTGGTTCTTCCTTGGTCTTTCTAAGGTACTATCCTCACCAACTATCCTTTTTTCATTGCCCATACCTTATCCATATCAACATACTTTCGTTACCCACTTCATAACATAAATAGCCCTCCATTTCACCTTTACATCTACCACCAAGTCATCTTTTTGAGACATTCACTTATGTAGGTTGTTTTGATTCCTTCCTATATCCACAATCAATTTAAGGTAGGAGTACCTTACATCATTTTCTCTCTGAATTGAGTAATTAAAGTCAACAATTTTATGCAGAGGGGCAAGGGATGCTATAGTACCTACTTCATCCAGTTTAACTAAGCCTATCTTTGTCATTTGGTTTAAGAACGTTGAGATGAATTGCAGGACTACTAAATGCTGCCACACTCTCCAGTATTGTATTATTTATATATTCTTCCAAGTTTAATTGGTGGTTCTTGTTCTGTGTCCCAATATGCCTGCTACACTGCACTCATTTCTTGTGGTTATTCTGTTTATGAGATTTCGAGCTCTGTTTAGATCGATAAAATCTCCAACTAATTTACTTTAAGTTATCCATGAAAAATAGTTAGGATTAAGAGTAAAAATTAAACCATAATATGAAAGATAAATAAGACGATAATTTAGAAATTTTAATATTGAGAAAATATGACATGACAAATAAATATGATGTGAGATGGTAGAAATAGTCTACGAGAACTCATAAAGTGATTTCAATTGTAAAAGTGAATGATCTTCTTAGAAGTCTTGAGCTCGAGCAATGTTGTCTATAGGATGTGTGTAAATTATCAATAGGCTAAGAAAGTTCTTGTAGTACAATCTTTTTCTATTCTTATAACACATCTTTTTTTTTCTCAAGGTTGGATTTAACATCATTTCTTCAAATTCAAATGGATTTTTTAATTATCATGTTTATTTTTCCTTGCGTTGGACCCTTAGACTAGATATTGATAGGCTCTTGCAATCATGGTAGAAAGATCAGTATTAAGTTGTGATAATGTTAATTTTGTTAAAGAATCATCATTTTCATATGTAGTTTTATGTTAGCATTGATGATGTTCATCCTTCATCACCGAAGATGATATATGCTTGTGTTTATCATTTTATCGAGCTTTTTAATTGTGCTTTTAACCCTTTTCTGGTAGGTTTTATTTTGTTGTTCATGTAATTAGTTTGTGTATTTCGATAATTTTAGGGGAAAATCCAACTAATGTAATTAATTTATTTTAAAATTTTATAGACTCTTATTATAATTTATATATTTCCTCATTATTTAATAAAAATAATATCTACTATTAGTTGAAAAAGATAAGGACTTTGAATTTATATTTACAGAAACAAAATCTTTTGTTTTTATTTCTGATATTAAAATTATTGATATTCAATATATATTTGGAAAACAATATCTTTATTGGTAAACATATTTCACATTTGAAGAATAAAAATCAATTGTTTTCCTAAAATATAAAATATAACCATGGTATCGCTGTAAAAAAATGCACGGCAGTGTTTCCAAAACTGTATAAAATCATATACATATATATAATAATCCAATCTTAATATTCTCACCCAATTCTAATCGTAGCTCTCTTTCAGTCACAGGTATCAGCTATTAGTTTTTACAGTTTGTTTTGAATATATTTTCAATCAAGTCGTATTAACTTGTGTGTATGAAAAAATATCATATATTGGGATAGATTGAGGGTCGAGTAAGTGGATCAGTCGTTCTTTTTGAAAATTTTAAATTCTTATATATTATAAATAATTTTTTTGTATTTCAATTGTAAATCTATTTTCGTTTTTCTAAAATTTATAAGTTTGTGTCTCGTCAAAATTTTATAAATTCGTCTTCCTAATATAAAATGATGTGTTGGTTCCATGCATATGTCTTGTTTTTCCTTCTAATATAATTTTGTCGTCGGTTTCACTTAACCATTCTTTAAGAAGAATGTCATTGATTTTATTCTTTTTCCTATTGAATTAAACAGCAATGGAGGTTTGGAAAAAAGAGAGTCTGCTTCTGTTAGCATTATGGATCCTTTTCGCAGGTTTGATTATTAGAGATAATGATATATATTAGACCAAAAATGAATTTATATTTAATATAATACAATAGTGGTATTGGTTATTTTTACATGGATAATGAAATTATTGCATAAAAAAATATGACATGCTTATGTTTTTTTGTATCAATAATAACAATAGAGCCCATCTTTGGCAGCAGTCATCAAAGCGAAGGCAGTGCCCTATGATTATACAGCCAGCATTGAGGTAATTAAGTTTTACCGTACCGTATCCATTTTTTAATATTAAATTAAAACTCAAATTCTAATATATTTTAAAACGTCAAGTGTTTAGCACAACCTCACAAGGCTCAGTATGGGGGAGGCATAATTAAGAACCCAGAGTTAAATGAGGGCTTGATAGGATGGTCTACCTTCGGAAATGCCTTAATCCAACACCGAAATGATTCGAATGGCAACAAATTCGTTGTGGCTCGTAAACGAACCCAATCCCTTGATGGTGTCTCTCACAAGCTTTACTTGGAAAACAACAAGCTCTATACCTTCTCCAGTAAGTAATCTCGATGGTATCACTAGTAAAAGAAAATATCTAGAAATGTTTGAGTTCGAGCAGCTGCATCTGTAGAATATGTATAGGTTAAAAAAATTCTAAATATATACTATATTGTAATCATTTAAAAGAATAATGGTTTGGATCGGTGACAATGAAGGTTGGGTACAAGTGAGTGAAGGGAAATCTTTGGTGAAGGCAGTATTAAAAACTGTTACCGGATTAAAGGTAGCTGCGGCAACTGTTGCCGAGTCGGAGTGTTGGACCATGCTCAAGGGTGGCGTAACCGTGGATGCCTCGGGCCCTGCTGAGCTTATATTCGAGGTGATCATCAATTTCATCTTGTTTTCCTTCAAGATCATTTAACTCACCATCTAATTTCTTCAGAACCATAACACCTCGGTCGAAATCTGGGTCGATAGCGTCTCTCTGCAACCATTCACACATGAAGAGTGGAACCGTCATCATGTTGAAAACATTGAGAAGGTCAGTTAATCTACTTAATATATATTCGACTTATATTAGATGCACTGACGATATATATATTTTGCAAGACAAAGAGACGGGTAAGAATCCGTGTTGATGCACGAGGGAAGCCGGTTGCGAACTCGAAGATTTCCATCGAGCAAAAGGTTTCGGGGAAACCCATTGGCTGTGCTTCGAACAAGAACATCCTCACCAACGTTGGCTACCAAAGCTGGTTCACCTCGAGGTTTACACATACAACCTTTGAGAACGAAATGAAATGGTACAGCAATGAGCCAAGCCGAGGCAAGGAAGACTATACAGTCTCGGATTCGATGATGGCATTGATGAAACAAAACAACATTGCGGTTCGAGGACACAACATTTTCTGGGACGATCCTCATTACCAACCCAGTTGGGTGCCCTCTCTCGGGGCAAACGACCTTTCGGCAGCTGCCAGCAAAAGGATTAACTCAGTCATGACCAAATACAAGGGTCAAGTAATCGGCTGGGACGTTGTCAATGAGAATCTGCACTTCAATTTCTTCGAAAGTAAGCTTGGGGCTGAAGCTTCTTCCACGTTATACAAAATGGTGTCCAATGTCGATTCTTCGGTACCTTTGTTCATGAACGAATTCAATACGCTCGAGGAGAAGGGAGATGCTGCATCAACACCGGCTAAGTACCTTGTGAAACTGAAGGAAATTCAAGGCGTATTGGGTGGCAATGCTAAGCAAATGGCGATCGGCCTCGAGTGCCATTTCGATGTCCCGAACCTTCCGTATATAAGATCATCTTTGGACACACTGGCCGCCATGAAGTTGCCAATTTGGCTGACGGAAATAGACGTGAAGAGCAACCCAAATCAGGCGATGTATTTGGAACAAGTGTTGAGGGAAGGACATGGGCACCCTGGTGTTAACGGGATAATAATATGGTCGGCCTGGCAACCGGGAGGGTGTTACCGAATGTGTTTAACTGATAATAACTTCAAGAACTTGGCGACTGGGGATGTTGTAGACAAGCTGTTGAAAGAATGGGGGATTAAGGCCATTTTACAAGGCCAAACTGATACCCATGGTTTCTTTGAGGCCTCTCTTTTTCATGGAGAATATCAAGTGCAAATCAGTGATCGTATTGAAGCAGCCAATTCTTCATTGATTCAGAGCTTCAAGGTGGAACCTAGACGTGAATCCAACGACAAAATTATGCTTCTACAAGTTTCTACGTGATGTATTTTGCCGTTTTCCCTCTTCAGTCAGTATTCATCAACTGTACTGTAGTTTTTTTTCGTGCACAATAATATAATCGTGGATTATTCTTATAATATTTCATCTAAAATTAATTGATGATAATTTTTTTTATTAATTTGGATAAATATAAGTTGTATTGTTTAAAGAAAAATCAACCATTTGATATTAAACACTCACACATTAGTAATTTTTGTGCTCAAACTGGAGACCTCAATGAATAACAACAATTCATTTACCACTGATGTCGCTCGATTTGTCCTAATTATAAGAAATTAAATATCTATAATTGTAAAAAACTATGAATAAAGTATATAAATGGTCCTCGACTATAGGATACTACTTTATTAAGTCCTCAAACTATTAAAAATTATAAAATAGTCATTCCACTATAGAGTGTTGCTTTGTTGAGTCACTCAACTATTAAAAGTTACAATATGATTGTCTGACTATTTATTATATTTCAAACTTGTCATTTTCTATTAAAAATTAGCAGTCATCAACATGATAACTAGCATATAATATTTGTTTGAGATTTTGAAATCATATTTTATTGTATCATAGTTAATATATTAACGTTCAACTCAGAATATCATCAATAATTTAACGAAAAATTATGTGTTTGAAATATAATGAATAGTCAAATAATCATTATGTAACTTTTAATCATATGATCATTTTATAATTTTTAATAATTGAGTGACTTAATAAAATAATACCTTATAATTAGAGGACTACTTTTATCTACTTAAAATATTACCCCAGATTTATCTACTTAAAATATTCTAATTGACTTGAGTGTCTCGTGTATCTAATTAATTTTTAACATATTTATTTTATTTAATACTTAAAATATCCATTCAAACTAAAACTTGAGTAATGCAGGTTTGGACATCTTAATGCTTTAATAACTCGCACACATGATAAAAAAAATTGATTTTATTTATTATTGAAAAATATGAATTTGAAGTCGAGATGAGAATTGAACTCATGTTACATAAAAAAAATGAGCTTTAATCAAGTGAAATTCGAACAATTAAATTTTTCTTTATCTCCAAACAAGTATAAACTTTAAAAGTAAATTGATTTTATCAGGCAAAGACAACTTTTTTTACAGCTTATCTCACATTGCTCAAAAATCTTTTAAGCTCAAGCCTATTTAATGGGTTAAGAAGCTTTTGCCCAAAGCTTGAACCCACCCAACTAGAAATTAACCACTTAGGTACGATTAATAGTAACTTTATGATATCGTTAATAAAAATGAACTTGTGGTTATTTAAATCGTAATAAGACCGTCATCAAATGTGGTTATTTATCATAGTTTTTCTCCGTTATTTTTTTAATTTTATTGCCCTTTTTCTGTAATATTTTTTTTTACATATTCATCCAAGCATAAAGACACAAGCCCAATAGAAATCGAAAGAAAAAACAAGTAGGGATAAAATAAAAGGATCTAATATTACTATAAAACATAAGGTTGAAATCTAAGCAGTGGTTCAATTATTAAAGAAAATAACTAAAAAGAAGATATAAAGATGAAGTCTGGAAAAATAATATTGGAATTCAAGATTTTCCTAAGCTGGGTCAAAAGCAAACATCCAGAAGACAGCAATAGCAAAGAGCAGCCAAACTGCAACGCACACAAACCAATCACTTCCTCCGGTAATATGATATATAATACATGAAAATATAATTTTTTAAATACCAAAATTTGTATAATATAAACCATTTAAATAATCAAAACACAATATATGCACACTCCTTGTCACTCAAGTAATATCAACATTTATACAATATAAACTATTTAAAATTTAATTATCAGAAGACATTATAAGCACACTTCTCGAAGATTTGTCTTCATCATTGCCTCCAAAATATTCAGAAGTTAAAAAAAAAAACAGTTTTTATGGACGAAAAAACCCTATTTCGTAGAAGAGATGGAATAGCCAAACCATCGAATCAACCAACCACCGAAAGAGAGAATCAGGAATAGGGGTGTTTTCGGGGCGTTGACCAATTAACTTATTCTTCATCGAAAATCGTAATGGGCTGTTCCGATTTTATTTTTCCCAAAAATACGACTATTTTGGATTGCGCAGAAACCAGAATTATCCCCTTTATTTCGCCAAACATCAGAATTTTAGTACTAGATCTTATCAATCCATATACGGTAGACATGCTGGTACAACTATAATCTATACGCATACGAGTAGAACTATAATCTATACGCATACGAGTAGAACTATAATCTATACGCATACGAGTAGAACATAGAGAGAGAGAGTACTTACCAGCCTTCTAGGCAACCGGAACTCTGATTTTTCTGAGGCGGTGGCTGAGCATATTGAGGAGGGTATCCTTGCGGAGGATACCCGGTGGTGGATAAGCATCCTTTGGAGGATATCCTTCTGGTGGATAACCTATATTTCCCAATCACAAAGAAAACATGAAAAAAAAATCTAAATGATCCACAAATAGCGAAAACGAACAAAAAGAAAGTAAATAAATAAACATAAAATAAAAACTCAGAGGAGCTGTTGACCTTGAGGAGGAGGAACGCCAACCGGAGGCTGTTGCTGATTGTAGTAACTCATCGTTTGCTGATTGATTTTTTTTTTGTTGGTGCTGACGAAAATTGAAGCGGAGAGAGAAGTGGGACGGGAAAGGTAGTTAAGACAGAGATAGGATTATACAGAGGATTTTCAAAAAGAGAAAGGAAATATCTAACATTTTTGTTGTTGTTGTGTTAAGACGTGGACACGTATATGTAATAACCATTTTTCTATTTACCTTTATATTATTATTATTATTATATTTATATTATAAAAATTATTATTTACAAACCAACAAATACTTGCATTACAAGTCCAAACACAAAAGAAAAATCAGGCCCTTCACAAAATGAAACTCAGACCCCTTTACAAAATAAATCCCAGACTCAGAGCCCAAACCAAAACCTAAACACGAAATGCCCAAAACCAAACCTTGAATCTACCCCAAACTAAACCTTAAACCAAACCCTAACCCTAAGATAATCGCCCCTAATCTCCTATCAATGGTCGCCGTTTTCTTCCCCAATGCCAGAGGTAGGCTCCACGCACGCCACCACCCAGCTCCATACTCCACGCAAGCTCAGCAAAAACAACAAGCAAACAAAAAATGTAATCAATTGATTTTCTATGTAATGGGTATAAAACCCTGAAATGAACGATATACCAGGAGCTTTTTTTCGTTTCTTTTGATAAGCAATACAAGGCATAATAGTTTGGGCATATATTTCTTTTTCTTTTCTTTTCTGTTTTTTCAATCCCGTATATTAGTAACATAAAACTTTTTGCTTTCTTTCGAATAACAACAACAACAGAAAACTCTTCTTTTAGTTTCGGAACAACAACAAACAACAAGTAAAAACCATTTTTTGTTTCGAGTACCAGTAAAACACAAAGAAAAAGAACTTTTTTGATTTCGGCATAAAACATATCTAGGCTTTTTCGTAGTAAAAAACAAAGAAAAAAATAAAAAAAATAGAAAAAAATGTTAGATTTGAGTTTACCTGAGTCGTGGGGGCTTTGTCGGAGTTCGCTAGAGTTGGGGGAAACCGAAAGGTCTAGGGGGGTTTTGAGGCCTTTTAGGAGCCTTTTTTTGTGTTTATATCCCTAAATAAGGGCCTATGTTGGTAGGTTTAGGGTTTTTTTGGTCTTTTTAGGTTGTTTTAGGAGTTCTGACCGCCGTATGTGGCAGTCGGAATGACGGTTGGACGATGGCCGGAGAGGGGTATGAGGCGACCGACCTAGGGAGAGATGAGAGCATGGTTTTCAGAACCGGACCGGTTAGCGAACCGGTCATGTTATCGGTTCACTGGTTCAACCGGTCGAACCGGTCCGACCGGTCGGAAGAACCGGACGACGTCATAATTATTTAAAAAATTAAATAAAAATACCAAAAATATCTAATAAAAAATAATTTTGTATATCACAAGTCATATTCAAAGCAAGTCATAACATATATGAGTTAAAAACCATAAAATCAAGTGAAACAAAATGATTCAAATTAACTACAACATAATATTTAAGATAAAAAATATTAAATAATAAATATAATTATATAACTATAATTAAAAAATAAATTTGGGGCTAAAAAAATCATAACAAAATAATATCGTTTGGTTTATTTTTTTTAAAAAAACAATCTCACATGGCTAAGAAACATAGAAGAACATCCCAAAAGTCTAAAAAGTAAAAATATGAGAACAAAACAATCCACATGGCTAAGAAACATAGAAGAGCATCCCAACTAACTTCTATAAATAATAGAGGTAATTTGACATTCAAAATCATAGAGCATTTTGGTGAGCATAGAGTGAACTATTCTTTCACTTCAATCAAGCTCGAATTTTAGGCTTCAATCGAGCTTCTAATTTTTTTTTTGAGTTCAAGCCTTTTCGAGTTCAAGTTTTAATATTATATTTCGAGTTCGAGTTGAACTTAATAATTTTTAGTTCGTGAGTTTGAGCCGAGTTGAGCTTACTTTTAAAGTTTGAGTCGAGCTCAGCAATACTCGAGTTCGACTTGGCTCGTTTAACAAACGACGTCGTTTGGTTTAATTTAAAAAAAACAAAATTGGCGGTTTTTTCCGGTTTTCAGCCGGTCCGGTTCGAGCGGTTCAACGGTTTCGGTCGATTCACTAATAGCGGTTCAATTGGTTTAGTTTGAACCGGACTAGGCAACGGTTTCTGGTTGAACCGACCGGTCCGGTCCGATTTTCAAAACAATGGATGAGAGAGGTGAAAGTGTTTTTGGTTTTTTTAGTTTCAGTTAAAATGAAATTAAAAAAAGAAAAAGTTGTATATATAGATAGAAATTAGGGTAAAATCATGCTTAAGTCCCCTGACTTTAAGTGTGTTTTTACAAAATAGTCACCTGTATAGATTAAAATTGATATTTACCCATTTCCATGCACGTTATATATTTTTCGTAAATTCACTGTTTAGTACCTCTAACTTTAGCGTGTTTTTGCATTCTAATCATATGCAAGGACTGAAATTATTATTTTTCCTTTTCTTTGCATGTTACATAATTTTTGGGTTATTTATTGTTTAGTCCCTATAAGTTTAGCGTGTTTTTACACTTTGGTCATATGTAGTGACTTTTTAAATTTTATTTTAATTTGTCTGGACTAATTTTGTAATTTTTCCATTTTAGTTTAATAGGTTATTTTAGGCATAAATAAAACTGTAATACCCCAAAATTTTGGTTGGTGACCAAAATATAATTTTTGAAAGCTTAATGCCAAAGTAGAAAATTGGGAAAAGTTTAAGGACCTAAGTGGTAATTTTTCCCAAAAAGAATTTTTATTCCATAAATGGATTTGGTTAGTGACCAAAATGTAAATATTGAAAGTTTTGTGACCAAAGTTAATCGGGAAAAGCTCAGGGACCTAAGTGGTCATTTTTCCAAAAAAGAATTATTCCATAAATGGACAGTTTACTCTTGAGAGTAGTGTTTTATTGAAAACAGATTCTTGATATGGAAATTGTGTTAAAAACTAGAAAGTGTTAAACTAGAAAGTGTTAAAGTCCGGTAAAAATTCGGTAAATCGGATCGAATAGAAATTTTGAGAAAATTTGAAGGATAATAAATTAGTATTTAAAATATTATTTCCACATTTTAAAATGATGGAAAATAATATAAACCATTGGATTTGAGGATTTAATTCCATGTTAATTTTGGACCGTTGGATTAAAGTGACAAGATTATAATTTTGGGAAATTGCAAGGGCAAAACAGTAAAGTGAGAAATATTTTGTTCATCTTTGACTTTTGGAAGATGATAATTTTGAGTTTTCTTGGTTTTATGGTAAATATGAAGTTTCATAAAGGGTAAATTAGTAAAGATATTTAAATTTTTAGGGTAAATTGGTAATTTAGCATTTAATGAATTTTTAATTCATTATTTAGTAAAGAAAGAAGAAGAATTTTCAAGAGAATTTCTTCATCTTCTCAAGCTTTGCCGTGAGCCTTGCCAAGGTAAGAAAAAAATTTCTTTTGATTTTTCAAGCCAATTTATTAGGAATTTGGATCATACCGTGAAATAAAAAATTGTTCTATGGGAAAAATGCCATCTTTTGGTACCATTTATACTTGTTAATCTTGCTTGATTTCAAAGATTCTAAATTCTAGGGTTTTTGTTCACATTAGGGTTTTATAGCATGTCATGATGAATTATTGCTTAAAGCGATTGATTTTAAAGAACTCGAAAAGTTTTAAGATATTTGTGGTAAGTAAAGAGAGTAAATTTGTTTTCTAATGTGATTTTAGCATCAACTGCTATAAAGTTATTGTTACTAGGTTGTTAAGCCTTCTTAACGGATGAGGTAGACACTCAAACTTTCATAGTTAAGTGGGAGATATTCCAACTGTTTGAGGCTATCAAATTGTGTATCTGCAAAAGTTACATGAATTACCTCTAGATTGAGATGTAAAAATTGAAATAAAGATGTTATTAGATATTGCATTTATCTCTATAGCCCCGTATCAAATGGCTTCGGCTAAAATTACAAGGCTATGCGTGTCATTTAGGACGCACTAGTGTTATTGTGAACAAGAAAGACGAGTCTATGAAATTATGTATGGATTATCGTTCGTTAAATAAGGTAAAAAAGAAGAACAAGTATTCTCTTCTAATGATTGACAATCTTTTGATTAGTTAAAAAAGTGCATTGGCGTCTCCCAAGTCGAATCTTCTATCGGGATATTATTAGTTAATGATGAGGAATAATATCTTCCTTAGATAGTTTTCAGAATTCGATATGAACACTATGAGTTTGTGATAATGTCATTTGGTTTAACGAATGTTCCTGTGACACTTATGGATTAGATAAACTAAGTATTTTAGTTTACTTGTATTAATTTGTGGTAGTGTTCATTGATGTTATTGTGATCTGTTGTAAGATCAAGGAAGACAACAATGTTTGTTTTTGTATAGCTCTTCCAATTATTTGGGAGAAAAATTGCATGTTAAGTTTACCAAGTGTAAATGTTGGTTGTCTAAGGTTGTATTCCTTGGCCATGTGCACTTAGCTAAGGGGATAAGAATATATATCAAGGAAGCACGAGATATTGTTGAATGATAAATTCCAAAGAATGTTTTCAAATTTCAAAGTTTCTTGGGATTTGTTGGTTACTATAGAAGGTTCATAAAGAACTTTTCGATGATTATATTCCCTCTGACCAAACTATTGAAGAAAGATGTGTTATTCATTTAGACTGTTAAGTGCCCAAAAAAAACTTTGAGATGTTAAAAATAATACTGAAATAAGCTCCAAGATCAGTATAATTAGAATTTGGAAAAGATAATGTGAATTATAGTAATGTGTCTCATAGGTTTGGGATGAATGTTCATACAAGAGGAAAATTCTTGGTTTATGCTTCAAAGCAACTAAATAATCATGAAAGAAATTATCTGACTCACGATCTCGAGTTGGCAATAGTTGTGTTTACTCTTTTTGATATAACACCACTATCTATATGGTGAGTGACGTTATATCTATGTGAATCTCAAAAGTCAAAAGTATGTATTTCCTTGAAGGAGTGAAAAGAAAGGAAATAGATTGAATTCATTAAAGAATGATGACATGCTTATCAAATGCAAATAGGAAAGGATAATGTGGTGGTTGATATGATAAAGCCAAAAGATATTTCTATTCTAAGAGTTTTGAATATGTGAT